AGTGTAGGAGCCTGATGAGATGGGCTAACTTCCACTTCTCGTGTCGAGATGGTGGTGAAAGAGAAGGAGGAGGGTCACCACCCTCAGAAAGTGAAAGCCTACTATATGACTTTTGCTTGATTATTTTATCCTCAAGCTTCTTGTATCCACCACGAGATATTAAGTGTGAATTTTTATTTTAAGCACTTCTACCTTATGCTTTAGACCTTGTTTCTTGTGACATAATGAAACAATTGTTATGATATAAAATTGTGAATGATGAATTGAATGATTTTAGCAACAGATACTTGCCACGACTCGGATGTACGACTTTGTATAAATTGACGCCAAGTTTCTTCGTCAATTGTCGTATATTTTGAACATGGAGTTTCATTTTTTTTGCTCCAAAGATATATATTGACGTCAATTTTGTCTTAAAACCCCGAAATCTTTCGGCGATTGCAGATAAACACTAATTTCTTAAAGTTGCGACATTTGGAATATCAAATTTCATATGCAATAAAGAAAACAACCTTATATCAATACAAATTTATCAATATAATCAATCTAGAATTTGGAGCAATATTAATTAACTTACCAATAGATCTTGCCAGATTAGGTCCTGATCAACTTCAAATACATGATCAAACGATGGAGTAAGAATAAAGATACGATCACGTGCAAATACTCAAGGTATGACCTAAAAACATTTGCATTTGGACTAGATGCTACATCGGTGACTATGTCAACAATGACAAGTGTCCTCTCACCTGCATTTCTTCTAAGTATAAGTTGTCTCAACCTAGTCGCTCCTATGGCGGGTCTAGAATTGGGGACTTCATCCCCTGATGAATGTGGTGCCTCAATCATATATATGTCACAATAAATAACAAGAAAGATTAATAAAAGACTTATAAAATAACATATATTATTTAACAAAAGCCATAAATTTGAAAACAAATATGAAGTTCATACATAATGATATAGATTGATCATATGTATATTCCCTCATTGTGATCTTCCCAAATTGCATGTACATTGTCAACTAGAGGATCGTCATCCAAAGAAATTGTTGTTTTAAATGGATGAGTGTCAACAATATGAAGATTAGTTAGATTCTCTTCGTTAACGTCAATTTGTTTTTTGGAGGTATCCTTGAGTGAGATCTCTATATATTTGATTAGGACTCTCATTCTAAAATACAAAATTCGAAAATCTTATCTTTTCTGTTGTGTGCTGTGATAAATTGTTCTAGGGTTTGTGTAACCCTTGTGCTTATGGCTTTGAGAACTTAGTATTGCCATAAAGCTAGAACTTTCACGAGAGTTGTGATTGAGTGTTGTTGTTATTTCTGAGTTAAATCCTGTCATCTTTTGTGAAGATTCAAAAGAGGTGCCCATCCTTCGTGAAGCATTCGGATGAGGTGTTCATCCCTTGTGGGTTTCAAGGGAAGTGAGTTTCATCTCTTATGGTAACAGGAGAGGTGTCCTAACCTTAAACTTTATTATTTTCTTTGTGATTGTAACAGTTTGTTGGTTTGTAATAGTGAAGCATTAATTCTCTTTTGAGATTAACAACTGGATGTAGGATCTTTGTGATCTGAACTAATATAAAAATCATCTGTGCAATGTTTTCTCTTCCTTACTCTCTTATTTGTTTTAATTTGTTATTCAAGAATTTAAATAATACGAAAAATTACTAAAGCCACAATTTGCGATAAGAAACCAATTCACTCCCTCTTGGTTTGTTGTTCACGCTAACCATTCCGCTGCACCGCTTTGACAATATGGCTTTAGTTTTTGAAAACATAAACACTCTCTACACTTGGTTGTTCACGCATTCCTAAGTAGATTAGGTTTTAGCCTCAAAGGCTAATATGGACCACTTGGAAGGGGGCTTAGGGTTTTAGATTTTGAAAACATAAACACTCTCTCCACTTGGTTGCTCATGTCTTTGGAGAGCACCCATTAGGATTCTTCACATTTTTCTTATTTGGTTCACATTCTCTTCTCTACACTACTTAATGTATTTTCATTTATATTTGTATTATAAGTCCATCTCCAAGAGCTAGCTAAAGTTGTAGTTGATTTCTTGAGGAGAATGCAAATGAAGCTTTGAAGTTTTTGTTCAATCACATTTTCTATTTTTGTTTGCTTTTAATCATTTAATCAATACTTATTAAATGAACACAAAATATGGCCATGTATACACAAAGTATAGCCTCTATTTCAAGCTTAATGTTTTTGGGTTGTTGTGGTTTGATGTTCTCACACATGTTTAATTAGTAGGGTTGATTAATGAAACTTGTTTTAATATCCACTTGGTTAATTTCGAGTGGATTGAGAGTAAAATAAAGTCTTAATTTTGTGACTTATTAAAAGTGGAAATGCATTTGAATCAGAAAGTCTAATTATAAGTTTGAACTCAATATAAATATGATTATTGAAAGATTAATAATAGTGTGAGATCTTCAACTCAAATTATCATAATTTTCTTTTTCTTATCTTGACTTTTTTTAAACATGATTAGTTATGATTTATGAAAATCTAAAATTATGAATAGTTTAATTCAATTACAAATTCATTCGAATAATGATTTTGTAAACTTTGATAAATTATGAAGTTTTAGAAATAAGAAAAAGACTCACCTTTACTTTCTTTGACTTAAAAATGAAAACCTAATATATAAGATTGTCTAGCTTCACTTTTAATGTAGCTTCTAATTTTGTCACTTTTAATGAAACTCTTAATTTTATTAAATTTGTAACTGATATAATTTGACTTATTTTATGATGAATTTTAAATTAAGACTTATCTTTACTGTATTGTTAAAGTATAAACAACTACATACGTGTGTGTACTCAAACATGAAATGAAAAGGTCCAAATCTTATTATCTCATGGGTGTACATTGACGAAGGAAGAATGAAGGTGTTGGGTTCTCCACGTGCAAAACGAATGCCTCATTGGTGAAGGAAGAACGAAGTCGAAACCAAGAAACCAAAGAGAGGCAAAGGATTCACTGGAACAAGAAGAAACAAAGAATAAGAAATTAGGGTTTTTAATAAAATATTTCTGAAAGGTAAAATGGGAGACTGAAAATCATACGGGTGCAGGAAGAAAAAATCGACATGCAAGAAGCAACAACCGAATCTATAACTTCGTTACTCCAACCAAAAAATATTACAACCAAACAAGATGAGGGTGTTACTTTCTCCACCACCACATTTTCTCCCTCCACCTCCCCAATTCTATTATATATTTTTTGAATTACAAAACTAACCTTTTATAATTACAAAAATAACCTTTATACTTTTTAATTTTAATTATTTACTTTAACCCTAAAATCTATATTTTTACCCCTTCTCACCCACCTCCCAACCTTCTCAGATTCTCACCCAAACACCATCATTCTCATCTTCCATTTTTCCTCCATACAAGTTTTCTTCCTCCTTCAGCGGTGGGCGGTGTGCGTCGGTGCGGCGGTGCGGCGGTGGTGCGACGATGAAGTGTGGTGGTGCTTTCTCCCACAAGGTTAGTGATGATATTTTTAATTTTTTTTTTAAATGTAATGCATATATTTTTGCTCTGTGCTGGGCTGCTCCTCTGCTTTTTTTCTGTTGTGTGTGTTGTTGGGAGAAAGGAAGAAGATAACCAGGAAAAACGGAGGTCGGGCATCCGTTTGAATCTGAAACGGATGTCGAGATCCGTCGACGGATGTCGACATCCGTTTCAAATCCAAACGGATGCCCGACCTTCGTTTTTTGCCTGTATATTTAACAGTTGGGTCGTTTAACGGTTGGGTCATTTCAATTAGCGTTGTAACTCTCTCTCTTGTTTCAAAAATTGTTTCTGTAGAAAAAACAGGATAAAGTGAAAAACGGAGTTGCTGCTATGGCAGTGTTTTTAGATTTTGCTGACGGTGAAGGAAGAGAACTGCCCTTACATGTTGATAACAGCCGCACTACTTTAACATATCTCTATTTTCTCTTTTATGACCTGTAACTTTAAGGCATACATGTTTAAATTTTCCAATTTTAATTTATGTTTCCTTGTACATTGATATGAAGTTTAAATTTGCAATTTGAAATAAATTATTCAGATAAATTGCTTCTGATAATTTGAAAAAAAATGGCCCAGTTTGTTTGTCAGAAGTTTACAGCCTTACACGCATTAAACTAAATCAATATTATTTAATGATTTAGTAGCCAAATCCAATTTGGTTCATTTGACATTCGATTTCAAAAGTTAAATTTCACTAACTTATTACATGCATGCGAGTTGAACATATGTGTCATTTAATTTTATAAAAAAATACAAATTTTATTCTTTTTTAATATGAAAACTGAAACTAAATTTTAAATTATTAAACTAAATATGATAAGAAAATATCATATTAATATACATGTAATAATCATTATATATATATATATATATATAATAGATTATCGATAAAATAAAATTTTAAATGTATAAATTATTGAGATTATTAAACCATAAAATTTAATAAAAGAGGAATAATTGTCATATGAAAAAAGAAAGAATGATAAAGAGAATTAATGTTCATATGAAATTTTAAATAATATTAACCATAAAATTTTAATAAGGGTAAAATAGGAATGAAAAAATAAAGAAAAGGGTAAAAGAGGAATGAGGTGATAGAGGAAGCAAGTTGTGGTGGTGTAGGGAGTAACACCCACAAGATGATTTACAAGGCCATTTCTTCCCGCACTTCCATGACTTGCATTGTATAAATTTTTGGATTCTGTATTTAGAATACAATTTTTTTATATTATAAAATATAAAATAAAAAATGAATTTTAAATTGTATAACCTGTGATATAAATATATTTTGAATTGTATATTTTGAAATATTTTTTGTATTTTAAATTATAATATAAAATAACAAATATATTCTAAATTATATATTTTAAAATAGAAAAATTATTTTTCAGATTAATTAAGTAATCTATAATACAAACTTTTTCGAATATTATTCCGAATTACCTACCAAATTGAAACGACAGGGCATGCAAAGGCGTCCACAATTCAAAGATGTCGTTTAATCTATCGGCCGCAGCGACTAGTGAAGACTGTCGTTTTGGCAGCCAAATTGCAATCTTCTTCTCTTTACGTACAGCGAAGGGGTTAGATGAAGAGAAAGAGAGGAGGCGAGGAGGAGGGCATGGATATCGTGTGGCAGACTCCAGCGAATCCCCCGCACCCGCACGATTACGTCTTTCGAAACGGTAACATCCAATATCTTAGACGTTCTACATATTCCAGTGATAAGGACGAAAAGTTACTACGAACATAGAACGTGACCCTTTTTTTCTTTTTTCTTTCCTTGTTGGAATTTGTGCAGGAATACGATTCGTTAGACCATACTACTTTGAATTCATCGCTCACGTATATTAGTTTTGTTTTCCTTATTCAATTTTTTATTATTTAAGAATCTCTCTTCTACATGTTGTAAAACCCCTATTAAACCCCATAAATGGTCAATTTGTTGTTGCAGGTCAAAAATCGGTGGGCGGGGAAAACCATTGTAGACTTATTTGCTGAGGAGTTTAAAGGTCGGCCTTATGATTATTATGTAAGAATTACGCCTTCTCATTTATGTTTTATTTTGATGATTTGTGTAATCGTAAGTTTGGTATTTTAAGTAGTTATAATTTATGACATACCTTTCATTATAATTCAATACTCAATCAACAAGAAAGTCACGTTAAGGGAGTGAAATTTGCTGTGGTTCCTGATAAGTGTGGTACCGTGGTGAGTCGTCGACAGTTACCTCGAATTTATAATAAAAATTTGATTTTATAATAAATATATTTGATTTTATATTTGACTTCATACAACACTTGTTGTGTTCAGCTCAGTGAACTTGATGTTGCCCCAGAGTTTTAGTTAATTGACTGTTTGTGTTTAACATTATAGGTTAGTGCAGTGAAATGTGGAAGGATTCAAGTAGATGGTGAGATTGTACCAGTTTCATACGTAGTTAAACCTTCTCAAAAGATAAGCCATTTCTTACACAGGTTTGGTTTTAAACTTTATGCTTTCATTCTGTGGATTTAGTAAACCTTGCAACTGATGCCACTGAGGTTTCAGGCATGAACCACCTGTGATGGCTTGTGATGTTGTTATTCTTCAAAAAGAACCAGATGTGCTAACTATTTATAAGCCAGCATCTGTTCCTGTAAGTATGCATTAACAAATGGGTTAGTGCAGTGCCTATGTGTAAAACTGTGATAACTCATGTGTAGTAAAATAATTATGCAGAGAATAAGTTCTGTTATGAATTAATTTTCCCTGAAGTTCAAGTTGTTTGGTGAAGAAACATTAAGGATTTTAGATAATATTTCTAACACCTGTTTATATAGAGCTATTTGTCATTGAAACGTAGATCATAATTCTAATGGTATGTTAAACGCAATGAAAAAAACTGATTCCTTTATATCATTTAAATTATTTCCTTCGGTTCTACAAAAGGAAGTCAGGAATTTTAGTGAATTCTGTATTAGATACCTATGTAATGGTGATATACTTATTGATGGTAGTTTGCTCTATATTTCGTATAGGCTAAAGCTGTGAATTTTAGCTGTTACGTAGGTACACCCATGTGGTCAATATCGGAAGAACACTGTTGTTGGCATTCTTGAAGCTGAGCATGGCCTGGCACCTCTATTTCGTATCCAAAAATGCATTCTGGAGAAGAGATAAATGTCATTTGCTGATATGGTTTAACATTTCCAATTAGCATAAAATGTAGCTTCTTTCTTGCCCTTAATATTTTTTCACACCTTATCAAGCCTCGGTGGTGTCTCCTGTCTCCATTTTGTGCTTGCATTTTCCCTTTAGTTTTCAAAGTTTATCAATTTGTATTTGCAATTTTACCTTGACATGATCATCTCAGCTATTCATCGTCTGGATCGCCTTGTCTCAGGGCTTCTTATTTTGGCGAGAAATGCTGCAAAAGCTGACATCTTTAGGCAACAGGTGAGTTTAGGAACTGACGTTCTTTTGCTATTAACAATATTTCTTCTTAGAGAATATTTGATTTCTAATATTAAATAAAAGGTTAAACTGTTTGATTTTAATATTTACATGACATCCAATGGGCAACTTTGTTCCTTTATTGAGCCAAGGCAGTCAAAATTTGCATTATGGTTGGAATCGTGAGGGACTCTCTAAATCGTGAATTAGGATCATAATACATATTGTAGATCCTACTCCTACATAGATATGAGAGATGTACTCTACAAACAATATAAATAATTAAAAAATATTTAGTCACAAGGTCACACTTTAAAATACTTAATTAAACTTAAGTTCATCATAAGCCATAAAAAAGAAAGCATGTCAATTAAGTCATAACTCATGACTGACAAACAAAACAACTTAAATACATAATTAGGTAAGTCTAAGTAGCCTAAACAAAATACCAAATCATCAAATACCAACTACCAAGTCCAAGACAAAGAACACCTAGATGGCTATAACGTAAACAATAACCATCTAATATGAATCATTCAAATTAAAATATAAGTTGAAGGGATCTTCATTAGCTCCATCCCTTTCATGAATCACATCAATAAAAACAAAGTCCTCCTTTAGAAGTGGTATTGCAATAACATTGTCCGCTTGCCCTTTGGCAAATTGCTCTAATAACCGCTGCAATTCCTGATTCTCCTCACCACTCAAATTGGCTCTATCATTGCTTTGATGACAATTCACACCTACCATTTGTGCCTCTGATGTCATGAAAAACCCCTTGACAACTTGCTTCTTCCAAGCAAACTTTGAAATGAAGAGAAAGGAATTCCTCCAACTTGTTCTCCTCATATTTCAACCCATTGATTGTTGTGCTTAAAACACATGACTTTCTTAGGCCAATCTATGCACATCTCTTCCACTGAATTCAACTAAGTCATTCCTAAAAGAATGTCAATGCCATCAAGATCAAAAACCATAGCATCAATCTCCACCCTCAAATCAGCAAGTTGTATCCTCACTCCATTACACCCTCCTTGAGTTTTGGCCTTGAAACCACCCCCCAACTTGATATGCAAAGGAGGGGTCTCGTCCACCTTCATCCCATAGCTTTCACCAATTTATGGGAGATAAAATTGAGTCGCCCCACTATCCACCAACAGCAATATCGGTACCCCTTGCACCTTCCCCCTCAACTTCGTGGTTCTAACTTCTCTAAGCCTTGTCATTGACAATCCCATTGAATTCATAACATTTAGCTCAACCACTTTTCCTCCCTCATCTTCGCCATTCATCACTTGCATCTCTCCTTCCTCAAACTCATCATCCTCAATCATCATGATGCAAAGTCGGCTGTTGGGCATTGGTGTTTAGGATGGAAGGGACCCCCACATTTGTAACATAGTCCTTTCTTTTGACGTTCAACAAACTGTTAGTAGGACATATGGCGTATGCCATTGTCTCTAGGTCCAAGTTGCCTCCTCATTTTTTATTTCATCTTTTGGGCCCGAATTAGTTATCCCTTTTTCTGGGCCCTCTTTTGTTCCTTTCACATAGACCCGATCACTATTTTGAACATTATGGATTCGACCCATAGTTTGTGACCCGTGACCCAAAAACCCCTGGGAATGAAAATTAGACAATCCACCACCGGTCCATCCTTTGTTTTTGTGATATCAATGTCTTGACATGCTTGTAACACAGTTTATTCTGTTTTGTGTATAATGACTATATCTGTAATAGAAATTTTTTATACATTATAACTAGAGTTTAATTGTTACAGATAGAAGCTGGTTTAGTCCACAAACAGTATATTGCAAAAGTAGTTGGAGAATTTCCTGAGGACGAGGTATTTTTATATGGTCTGGATAATGTGTTACATATACCGTACTTGGTACTTGGTATTTATTACTTTCTGCATCCTATTTTTATGGACCTTGAAGGTCTTGGCATTGGAATTACTAAATGCTATTGCTATATTATAATATTGTAAAGCTTATTATGTTATTTCCGAACACATCCTCTTTCTTGCATTTTAATTAGGTTATCATCTAATTTTTTCCTTTTCTCACATCATAATAATGGTTAAGGATATAAATACAAATAAATAATATTTAATGCTTCATTGATAGAATGATTTTCAAAATGGAACATTCTGTTTTGCTAAAATATCGAATAAATGAAACATAGGGAGTATGTTGAAGACAAACCCTGCAACTGTTTCATATATGCTAACACTTGAGAATTAAACTGGAAAATAATTCTAGAGGGCTTGATTGATCCCTCTCATAATCTTCTATTTATAAGAATAAATCGATACAAAAGTACATGATAAATAGGGTAATCCTAGACACAATATAATCATGATAAATAGGATAATCCTAGACACAATATAATCATGATAAATAGGGTAACCCTTGACACAATATAATCATGATAAAATAGGATAAATATCCTAACACTCCCCCTTAAGCTGGAGCATACAAATTGTATGTACCAAGCTTGGAACAAATAAACTCAATCCGAGGACCCCTTAATGACTTGGTCAATACATCTGTGAGTTGATCGTTTGTCCCAATAAACTCAGTTCATATTTCTTTTGTCAACAACTTTTCACGAACAAAATGACAATCAATTTCTATATGTTTAGTCCTTTCGTGAAACACTGGATTTGATGCAATGTGGAGAGCAGCTTGATTGTCGCAACACATTTTCATAGTATGAATGTCACAGAATTTAACCTCTTGAAGGAATTGTTTCACCCATATAAGTTCACATGTTAGTGATGCCATTGCCCTATACTCGGCTTCCGCGGTTGATCGAGCTACTACATTCTGTTTCTTACTTTTCCATGAAATAATGTTTCCTCCCAGAAAAACACAATATCCTGTAGTAGACCGTCTATCAATAGGTGAACCTGTCCAGTCTGCATCACAATACCCAGAGACCTGAATGCTTCCTTTATCTTCATATAACAATCCTTGCCTGGGAGCCTTCTTTACACACCTTAGAATGCGAATGAGAGCATTCCAATGGTAACATATGGAGCCTGCATGAACTGACTAACCACTCTAGCTGCAAAGGATAGATCTGGCCTTGTAATAGTGAGATAAATCAGTTTTCCAACCAACCTCCTATACCTCTCTGGATCGAAGAATAATTCACCTTCTTCTGTCCTTAATTTCTGGTTTGGGTTCATGGGACTGTCTACCGATCTACAATCAATCATGCCTGTTTCTTGTAATATATCAAGAGCATACTTCCTTTGGGAGATTACAACTCCATCTTTTGATTGTGCTACTTCAATGCCTAATAAGTATTTGAGACTTCCAAGATCCTTGGTTTGAAAATGTCTACACAAGTACTCTTTTAGTTGAGATATTCCAACATTTCCTGTAATGACAATATCATCAACATATACTATAAAGTAAACACATTTCCCGAGAGAAGAATGATAGTAAAAAACTGAATGGTCTGCTTCACTGCGTTTTAGCCCAAATTTTTGAACAATGGAGCTGAACTTTCCAAACCAAGCACGTGGGGATTGCTTGAGGCCATATAGAAATCGATGCAATTTGCATACTGTTAGATGTTAAGATGTGTGTTTCTGTTAATTGGGCTCAACCCATTTTGTATTAACGGCATTGGCCCATATCTTACATTATAAATAAACTTCCATATGTGTATGCAAAAGACACATGGGATATTTTCTCCCAATCTTTATTTCTCACATGGTATCTAGAGCATAGGATTCGTTCCAGCCAACTCCACGGTCTCCGGCACACATCATCGCTGCTGTTGCTGCCGTCGCTGTCGCTGCTGCCGTTGTCGCCGCTACAACCGCTACCGCCGCCACCGACGCCAGAGTTCCAGAATCGACCGATGACTACACCATCGAAATCGTCTCGGTCGGGCGACCACCGTGGTACAAAAATCGCGGTGAACGGACCACCCACGTGCCTCCAAGCGCCGCGCGTGCCGGTGCGTCGTCGGAGAGTTTCGTCGCCGATCAAAACCGCCGTGATCGCCTCCTCGTCCTCTTTCTGGATCTGTGGTCGTTGCATCAATCGGAGCACTTTGGATTTTTAGGGTTTCTCCTTCTGCATGGCATCTTCCTCGTCTACAAACACCTCTGTTGGTGGCTCATCTTCTGATCCCTCAATATACACCAATTATGTGTGTAACCTTTTGCAACAAGCCGAGCTTTGAGCTGATCAATTTCACCATCAGGGCCGACATTAACTGCATACACCCATCGACAACCAACCGCCTTTTTGCCTGGGGGAAGGGGCACCAACTCCCAAGTATTACTGTGGTCAAGAGCCTGCATTTCTGCAATCATAGCTTGTCGCCATCCATGATGATCAAGTGCTTCTTTCACATTCTTGGGTATAACAACAGAGGACACTGAGGATAAAAGAGAAAAATAGGAGGGTGACAATCGATAATAGCTTAGAAAATTATAAATGGGATGAGGGTTTCGAGTGGAACGAGTACCTTTTCTGAGGGCAATAGGCCATGCTGAATCATTTTCACCAGGAGGCGTGGGAAGAGGTGACGAGGGAGAAGAATCTGAAGTAGGAGATTCACCATTGTCTTGGGGAGGTGGACTATCCATTGGGGCCCTGTGTGGGATGATCTCAGTATGTGGAGAAACGGGTGTAGAAGGATTGTGATCAAGACTTGGAATGACAGAGACAGTAGAGCTATTTGACTCAGCCATTGGAATAGGAAGGACCTGCTGGAGGATAGAAACATCCTGAACAGATGGAGAGAAGTAAGGAGTCTGTTCAAAGAATGTGACATTGACAGACATGTAATACTTAGTTTCAGGAGAGTAACACCGATATCCTTTTTGAAGTCGAGAATAGCCTAAGAAGACACATTTGAGAGCACGAGTGGAGAGTTTGTCTAGACCTGGAGACATGTCATGAACAAAATATACACAGCCAAACACTCGGGGAGATGTATGAAAGAGAGGATCATTAGGAAACAAAATGGAGAAAGGGACTTTATTATCAAGAGAGGAGGAGGGCATCCTATTAATAAGATAACATGCAGTTAAGATGGCATCCCCCCAGTGATGGACAGGAATATGGGCACCAAGCAAAAGGGTACGAGCAGTTTCAACCAAGTGTCTATTTTTTCGTTCTGCTATACCATTTTGTTGTGGTGTATGAGGACAAGTAGACTGATGTAAGATACCATGGGAACTCAAGATGGCAGAAAAGGAGGATGAGAAATACTCTTTTGCATTATCAGTTCTTAATATTTTGATTACTTGACCAAATTGATTCTTGATTTCATTCAAAAAGGATGTAAAGATAGCTAACAATTCAGAACGATTTTTCATAAGATAAACCCAAGTACATCTTGAATATTCATCAATAAAGGTAACAAAATATCTAAAACCAAAGGAGGAGATACGACTAGGTCCCCATATATCAGAATGGATGATGGAAAAACTAGAATTACATATTGATTGAGACCTTTTAGGAAAGGAAGATCTAACATGTTTTCCTAATTGACATGACTCACATTCTAAGGTTTGGAGACCACTAAGTTCAGGACACATCTTTTTTAATTTGGACAAATGAGGATGGCCAAGTCGATCATGTAGCACTTTAGGATTAGGAGCAGCAACACAAGACACCCTTGGACGAGATCCAAAATGGTATAATCCGCCAGCTTCATATCCTTCTCCAATCTGTCTCCCCGAACCACGCTCCTGTATAACAAAAGATTTATGATCAAAGGTTATTGAACAATTTAACATTTTAGTCAACTGGCTTAAGGAAATTAAATTAAAAGGACAATTAGGGACAAAAAGGACTGAGTTGAGATTGAGGGAGGGAGACAAAGAAACATGACCGACTCCTTTGGAAGAAGTTTTAGATCCATTTGCAAGGGTTATGAAATGAGGTTTTTCTCGAAAGGAAATAGATGAGAACAAAGAGGTATTACCAGAAATGTGATCAGAAGCACCTGAGTCAATTACCCATGAATTTTGACATTCCATAGATTGAGAAACGCAGGCTGTTGATGTATTGGGAGATTGAGATGGTTGTGCCAAGCTGTTAGACTTTAACCTTAAATACTCTTGATATTCATCCTCAGAAAACATAGAAGTGGAGGTTTCAGTTTTCGAAGTGGAAGTTTCAGTCTTCGAAATATTGGCGGTTTTGGAAGGGAAACCATGTAAGGAGTAGCAATTCTCTTGAGTATGACCCATCCTTTTACAATATGTGCATTGAGTACGTCCCCGACCTCCTCGTCCTCCTCCTCTAGTGCCACGTCCTCCTCTTCCTCGTGTGGCAACCATGACAGATGGTTCCACTAGTTCATGCGCTTCTTGAGTTTGAGATACCGGGACACGCAGAAGGCGAGTGGTCAATGTTTCCATAGAGGGAACCTCATGACTAGTTAGAAGTTGATCTCTGAGATGATCAAAATCGGGATGTAGGGCACGAAGGATCAACACCATGTAAAATTTGTCTAGTTTCTTTTTGATATCCTCTAATGGATCTACTTCCAAAAACATCCTAAGTTCTTCGACAGCAGATTGGGCTTCAGCCATGAAGGACACCATATCATGGTCTGCCATTTTAAGAGATGCAAGCTTGTTCGTAGTGTCATAGAGACGTTGAATATCGTTGGCATAAATGCTTTGGGCTTTCTTCCAAAAGGAGTGACAAGTTTTGAAAGCCCTCAAAGATACAAGAAGTTTGGGTTCCATTGATTGCCATAACAGGGCACACAACTGGAAATCTGCTTGTTTCCACTGATCAGCTTTTTCAGTAGGCACATGGCGTCCATCTCGTTCAAGGTGGTCATAATGCCCTTGGCCAAGGAACCGCATTTCAACGGCAGCAAACCATGATAGGTAATTTTTTCCATTTAGCTTCTCGGAGGTAATTGATGGACTTCCGGAGAAGGAAAGAGTACTGCCAGACGCCATTTCTAAAGAAGACAAATAGTACCAACGAGGAACAAGAAAACCATAAGGGTTTAGACGAACGGAATTGTGACAGTGATGGACGACGGTGGCTGGCGACAGCAGATGGCGGCCGGTGGCCAACGACGGATGGTGGCCGGCGACGACGGACTGTGGCACCGGACATATATTACGAGACAGAAACCAGAGCGGGATCGATCCGCTCTGATACCAACTTGAGAATTAAACTGTAAAATAATTCTAGAGGGCTTGATTGAACCCTCTCATAATGTTCTATTTATAAGAATAAATTGATACAAAAGTACATGATAAATAGGATAATCCTAAACACAATATAATCATGATAAATAGGGTAACCCTTGACACAATATAATCATGATAAATAGGGTAACCCTTGACACAATATAATGATGATAAAATAGGATAAATATCCTAACACTAACGATATAATTTCCTTCTTCCATTGGTATAATTAGAGGGTGAACCTAAAAAACAGTCTCTCTCATGATCCTAAAAACAGTCTCTATGTATGTGGGGGAAGGCACACTCAGCATTTCTCCCCAAACTCCTACCTAGTCAGGGCCTGGTGCACTAGGGCTTCCTAAAGAACTAGATTGACATTTGCAGAACAAGATGGGAAGTATCCTCTTTCTAGTCGGTTAGTGTTGGAATGTTAGATTCACAGTCAAAAACTAAAGGAAAAGTAACTAAAAGCTAGAGTCTATCTTATCTACTTACGTATTAACAAAATTTGCATATTTTCTACCATGTACTTCATTTGATTTTAATATATTGAGGCATGTTAGTTTCTATTCCTGCTTCTTGGGTTTCTGACAGTTTTGCAAATTGCAATACAATAACAATTATGAATAATGAGAAAAACTATATATTTTAATTAGATCCAAGTATTTTCAGGACAGTTCCAAAAAGATACATAAAATGAACTGGGAATATTAGTTTGCAATCAATTTAGAAGAACTTTCTTAACTTTACCCGTAAATGCTTTCAAAACTTCTCAAATGGTAGTATTAACCTTGAAGTAAAATGATACCAGTGTATTACGATTCATATTCCCTAGCAAGGTCTGCTCATAAATGTAAATGATATATTTGCCACTTATCCAAGTTTCTAACACCAGACATGGAGTAAGCAGTTACTTTGTGAATATGTTGAATAATGAGTAATGTACTATTGCACATAGAAACTTCATACAGTAGTAAATAACCGTCTTATCTGATGAAATTGCGGGAGCAGTTGATCTTTTGAATATATCTTTTTCTTAAAGAAGGCGGCTGATCACATCTGAGATGTGTCTATCCATGGGTCTAAATTGAAAAGCTTTGTTGGAGAGGCATTAATTACTAACTTATGAGAAGCTTTGGCAATGATCATGAGAGTTTTAGATGATGGTTGTGGCTAAATAAGTAAATGCAGGCAGCAACATGCAGTGTAGCATATGAAGAAGAAACTGTTTGGGCAGAACAGTTGTTTATTGTGAAATTGGGAGAATCAGTGCATATCGCTCTTCTCTATATGTAGCTTTTCATATGATGACATATGATTGTTGCACTTTGTGGTTGAGATTCATAGTGATGCCTAACATTTGAATGTAAAAAATAAAAGCAATTCCAAATGGGTCATGGTTAACTAAAACTTCAGTCTGAACTTTAATTTGCCTAGTATATATAGATTATTAATATTTAAATTCTGAGTTAAAATTTCATAATTTTCTAATTTGACAAAGTTTTTACTTTTCAGCTAATTGTTGATGCCAATATTGACTATAATGCACGTGAAGGAAGGAGCACAGCGGAGGTGAGGCCTTTGGGGATCCTACATTATATTTTGTTATTGAATGTTTGGATGCATTTAGATTGTTTTTTCTTTTCATTTTCAGTTGATATGTTTTCACTAATTATAAAAATGTCACTTTGTGATCAACTTGTTTCCTATTTTAAAGGATTTGCGAAGGGAGAACAATGAACCCTTCTAGGAAAAAAAATGCTAATTTATAATTATAATATTAATGCATTCAAGGAAAAACACTTTTATGATGTATTATTTTAGTTATTTTTCTAGCATATGCGATAAATGCTAAAGCAACCTTTCTTTTGTATGGTTAGCTGTTTCTTTCTTTTTCTAAAATATAGTCTATTGTTATGAAACTTGTTAGATGTTAAGATGTGTGTTTCTGTTAATTGGACTCAGCCCATTCTGTATTAAGGGCATTGACCTATATCTTACATTATAAATAAACTACCCTATGTGTATGCAAAAGACACAAGGGATATTTTCTCCCAATCTTCTCTATTTCTCACAACTTTTTGAGCATACTTTTAATACTATTTTGTGTCTATAACCTTCATCTTGTTGATTAGCTACTACTTAGGACTGATATAGAATCTGAAACAAGTCTCTTTGCATATGCAAGGGACGGCATTTTACAATGACCTTCTGTCATATCTTGTGTAGCAAGGAGCCTTTTCTTGCTGGTACTTTTGGCTTCTTTTTATTAACAGAATTGCTTGTCATAGTTCAAATCATGTATATCAGAATTAGAGCAATGTGTTATAGGATTGGAGTTCAAGGAAATAGATATTCCAACTCAACAAAGTTAAACATCGTAAGAGATGCAAATAGAACAAACATCACGGATTCCTTTGTCTTTGCTAAATGATCTGATGTGTAAAACATGGACGCATATGACAGCTAAAACAAAATGTTGGTGATTATATTGGGTATTCTTATTTTATTATGTTTCAATAGTAGCTAACATTGTCCAAGGAAAAGTGACTTTTGAGGCATTTGTTCTTGATAAGTGGAAAGACAAGTATCTAATGGGATATCTGAATGAAAATATCTTTTTTAATGAAGGTCAGAGACTCCGCAAAGGGGAAGGCTGCCTCTACAAAATTTACTCGGATTAGTACTAATGGAACTCAAAGTATTGTTTTATGTGAACCTATCACTGGCCGTACTCATCAGGTAGGAAAATGGTTGCTTATTTAGATTTCCTTTTTCTTTTTATTCAAAATTTAGCTGCATATTTAATATCTTCATATCATTCTCTCTGTCTGGTATTTGGTGTAAACATTGCTATCTTGTGTAAACCTCCCATAGAAATCATAAAAAAAAATTCTATTACCAATCTATATTGGACATCGAGGTGCATACGACACTCATAAGACACTTATCAGTAAAGTGTCCAATTTGATGGACATTTTTTTTTGTCTTTGACATGGTCAACATAATGTTAATAAACACGTACAATAATTTTCTAAAAACGCATAAGCTTGTAAACTTATTGCTTAAGTTTCTATTATGATTATAGAAATATGGAACAAATATTATATAATCATTACTTTTCACTTTTAAAATATTAGGTAGATGGATTAGATGCATTTTTGTATTAGGTAACAATATGATCAGATTATTATATTTGACTAATCTTGTTTATAGATGATTGAGTATATAAATATTGGTTGCTAAATGAAATAATTCATAATGATCTAATATATAGATCTGTGTTCCTGTGTCCTATATTTTGAAGACTACACATGTCAAAGTCTTGTCCGTGTCTGTCGTGTATCCTTGTCAGTATCCATGATACATAGTCAATGACAACATATTGTAAAGCAGGTTTCTTGCCAGCCATTCTGTCACTGTATAGACAAATGTATGACTGTCGTTGTTCTGTACAACTTATGGAATACAAGAGATGAGATTAACACGACATATGTTGGATTGGGAATATTAATTCAACTGACCAAAGACATCCTAAACTTTAGTTTTATTCGATTGACTATAATTTATATATGGTGCTTAACATAGTATACACCTCTGGTGTAGATACGTGTTCATTTACAGTATTCAGGGCACCCAATAGCCAATGACATGCTGTACCTCTCAGAACAAACTGTTGATCGATCTGTCAAAGGGTGGAGTGCTGATAGATCAGCTCGCATATCTGATGTTTCTCTGACATCAGATCTTGATGAAGTGCTCAATGAATGCGAAGAAAATTCCAATGAAGATTTTAGCATTGATCCCATGTGTACAAATTGTCCAAATTTGGCACCCAAAGGGTAAGAAACCCATTATCTTAGAAAACAATATTTGCTGCTTTGTATATTGTAAATTGTAAAAAGAAAAAGATATATGGGTGACTTGAAGAAAGTTCAGAGTAGATTTGTTCGTACTCAAGTCTGTGTAGCTGTTTAAACTCTAAAGTACAACCGGCAGACCATAATAATTTGGTTGAGCATAGATTTTCTCGTAGTCGAGCATTTTCAGTATTACATCATATTAAAGCATAATTAGAGAAAAATAGAACATGCCATTACAGGTTTTACTATTTATCTGCTTCTTATCTTAGGACATAAGGATATTAGAATTGGTTAAATATTTATTGGAACGAAGTAGGAGCTTTACGTTGCTTATTGTTGTTGCTCTAGGCTGTGTTTTGGTAGCAAAAAGCTCTTTCTGAGTGAATATGACGTTGTAGATGCCATTGTATAATATTATTGTCTTTTTGGTGCAATATTATGTCTTAACTTTCAATATTTATACTTCTGTTTTTGGCTGTTTTGTGATTGTTTTATGTATTAATATATGGAAATATATAATTTTTTTTATTTGTTCTATAGCAAGACTTGAAACTTGTAATTCTGAAGATTCTTTTCTTCCTATCCTTGTTGTGAATCTCAGATAGCTTGACCATTAAGTTTTCTTTTGTCGAGCTTTTATAATTGCAGATATGATGGTGATGAAGATGGTCTATGGCTACATTGTATTCGCTACACGGGGCCTGGATGGACGTACGAGTGTCCATATCCTGATTGGGCTAAATTTATCTAGACAATTTGATATATTTTTCATCGTAAATTTCAAACAAATATGCAACGACTTTTTTTGAGTTTTCATCTGAGTTGTGCTGGTTACGGAAAAACTATTTAATCTTTTGCTAGTATTCAGGGACACTGGATTGGAACGATCAATTATTGTTACTATTGATTTTTTCGCGTTGGAAAATCAGTAGATTATTCTATTTTAAAATGATTAAATGTTTTTTATAGTCTATATATACTTTTACCTTTTTGGACGAGACATTTGTAACTTGTTATACCAGAATGCTTTGCATTTACGGACATTCTCTTTGAGAAAATGGATGCAGCAATAGATATAACAATTCTTAGCAAGTTTCTTCAACATTCTAGTCTTGGGAGTTATTTTACATTAGTTTTTAATGGGATTACATCTATAGTTTTCTTTGTAGTTTAAATTACTTTTTTATTACCTCTATTATGGTTAATGTGTGATTACAGTATTTCAATATTTATTCTGTTTTGAACTGTCTGAATTTAATTATTACAATAATGTCTTGTTAGTTTCTTTTTATTTTAAGCCCTTGGCTCTTTTCCTTTTTCCCATAAGAAAACTGTCTATCTAGAGAAAACTGCCATAAGAAATTCTTTGAAAGATTATAGAGTTATAAATTTGAAGGATTTTAAAGGATGTGACCAGGGTTTTAAAGCAGAAACTTGTGATTTAATTTCTGTTAAAATAATTTTTATTTGATTAATTGGTGACATTTGTGGTCTAATTAAAATTTTATTCAAACTGTTTTATATTGTTTTGCATGGATTAATAATTTTAATGTGTCTAAAAATTAAATTGGTGAAACTTTTTCATGCAGGTTCAGATGTTTAAAATTAATGGTTGAATTACTATGATAAAATGAATGACCGACAATGAGTGAAATATCCTTTGTCTATGAATGATACAAACATTCTTGGATAATTTGTGTAGTCATTTGGATATTTTTATCTCGTTTTTAGATGATATATGATTTGTATCTAAGTTAAAATTTTCAGAATAAGTGAAGTTATTACTTTTGTTATTGAAAAATATAGGGGCTATCATTACGTTCTTAAAAGAAAATTTCATATAGATGGGTTCGTATAATTTTTTGTTGATGCTTCATTTGTTTATTCTTCATTAGTGAGTTTATCTTCAGATGGGTAGTAATGAGGTCATGTTCTAACAACAGTCCTCAAGCTTTATTAGCATTACTAAAAAAGGAAAGAAAGGAGAAAAAGTGTAGAAAGTGATATTATTTAAAGGGTTTAGTTTCTATCTTTTAAATTGGAATTTGTCTTTCTTTTAAATTTTAATACATTTTTATCTATAAATTCTATAAATAATAATTTTAATTTAATGATATTAAATTTTTTATGTTTATTTTAGATTAACATTTAATTGAAACATGTTAAAATAATGCAAAAACAAAAGTAACACATATTTTCGTCCCTGTCTGTGAAACCATTTCTCTAGCATTCTACACTAACAGATTTCATTTTCCACCTGTTACACCAAGAATATGTCTCAAATTAGCTACACTTAACTATGTGTCTATTATGTAAAAACTGGTAATTTATATCTATGTTACTGTTTACTTTATGTGAATTAAAATGATGACTGGTCATAATATGTAAAAAACTAATCTGATCTTAAAAAAAATTATTGAAAAAATACCAGTAAATTTTATGAAAAAAACTTAAATTACAATTTATGAAAAATTACATATAATTATTATGCAAGATTAATCTACCTCAGACAAACCACACAAATGATAGTTGACAATAATACAAACGAAAACAAAAATAACATAAAAAACATGGAGACCCTTAATTAATTGTTTTCATTAACGAATAAAAGAAATTAATAATTTTGGAGAATAAAAATATTCAATCCTTTAATTTACTATATATTTGTCATTTGTTGATTTGAGGTTGTTCAAACATGAATTTGGTTGAAGTGACATGGCAAGAAATAGTTCAAAGTATTTGCCGTAGGAAACGAAACTTGAATTGATTTCCACATTTAGAGCCCAACTCCAAAGTCTTTGCATTTGTATTGTCCATTGAAGTCGCCTTCACTCAACAAATTGATAACTGTTAACACTGTCAGCATCAAATTTGGTGAGAATGTGATGGGAAAAACGAAGGGTGTGAAGTCTCTAAAAAATCTACAATGAAGAATGAAACAACTCATTATAGCATAAATGGTTGAAACCAAAATGGTCACGAGATATTTTTATTTTGGGTGCCGATATTTTGTATTATACTCAACTAAACAAATTCTAACTACGCAATGATAATTAAGGGATCCACATTAGTGCGTTGTGTTCAAATCTACAATATCTTGCTTGATATGATAGCATGTGCATCTTGAAGATATCTGAAATTAACAACGTTGCATGAGATTTTTTGAGGATTGAGCTCCTCTAGAGTGAGTAAACAATGATGCATGCGTTCACTTTTAATTAAAGTAGGTTAAATATATAAAAACACCTTTATCTCTATTCTTTTAATCTTAACTTTAGAAATGGTTAAAATATGAGCACTTGATTAAGACTACAAAGGTAAGCAGCACATGGGTTCATGTTGAATTGGTTATTACTAGGAAAACCAATCTCCATCGTTGAAGTGTCGCAAAATGAGTTGAACAGAAGCTATGAATCTCCTTTCACCGTAACTGTACGGCAGAAGACAAAAAAGTAGGAAGAATAGTAAGATATGGTGGAAATAAAGCATGATGTAATCTTGGCCCGCTCAAAAGTTTATGCAGGACACATGGTGCAACAATACTTCTTCAAAAATCAAACTAATCACCAAAATCATATCTATCTAGGACACATTATGATGCAATCATTGGCACCAACTCGAGGTTAACCACTAGAAAACATTAAAAAGGAAAAAAATGTAACGAACACATATTTCATTTTATTGATGTATGTGAATAGAAAGAGATAATTAAAGCATTAGAAGAAGACGTGTTTGATAGATGACTTGAGGAGCTTTAAATTCTCCCAAAACAAGTGCTTTGTTACATCACCCTTATCTCCCTCTTTGTTCCTAGTAGATTGTGTGCACACCTAACCGTGTATGTTTTTGTGTTTTTGTTTGGTGCATGGCATGAAGGTTATCTCCATCAAAAGACAATCATAGGAAACTTTTTAAGAATTTGCGTAATGCCCTAGAATGCTTATCTTGAGACGCATGAATAACTATTATTTGCATTATTATTGTTATTTCTTCTCTTTGTGGTGGCCCCCATCAATTCTTTGGTTTGGCTAGTGCTTCTTCTATTATTAATTTTGCATTTCCGACGCCTAACGTTTCTTTCTGATCGAGTTTATCCCCACTCTAAAGTTCAACATTGTGAGACATTTGGAACAAACTCCTCCATATTTTTTTTTCATATCTTGTTCAGAAGGCGACATCCTACTAAAAGCGGACACAGATCAGCAGCCCAAATATGTGTGATCAATCATTTTTTTTCCGCGGAATTAATTTTGATGGGGAGAGAGAGAGACAGAAAGGACGAAAAATTTCCAAATTGTCTTCTATTGTCCACTTACTTTCTAATATAATATGAATACATTTTCTGTTGTTTTCAAGATATTGAACACATATTTGTCCATCATTGAGTGAATAAAGTGAAAATAAATATATTAAAAAAGGTTTGAAGATATAAACCAAACACATTTATTTCGATGATGATCACTATACCTACCCGTACGTTGTGGGTGTATATAAATCGTCTGCTTTTTAGCCATTTGATATATTTGTAAAAGATCATGTTCATCTAAGAGGATTAATATGTGTAAATCTAAAAAAGTTATACTATAGACTAAAAGAAGTCCATAAAACAAATCGAATTAAATAAATAAATTATTGTTAAATTTACTTAGATTATTTAAATTTTACTTCTTTATGATACAAATACCTCCTATGTAGAAACGACTTAAATAATATAAACAAATTCAATCAAATGGTTAATATTTCATTAAACTTTATAATCAAATATACTTTGTAAAAACTTTTACTCCAAATATTCCTAGTTTCAATTTCACACTCTTTAGGTTGAGGTGTTTAGGTAGTCGTCCTCAAGCCAAATGAAGGTTATATTTGTATAAGACACTCCAACACTCAAGTCAACCAAGTATATTAGATGATAGTAAATGCAATAATTAATAAATATAATCAATGTACTTCGTAAATTGTGCTATTTATACTATGTTTATGAGTTTTTTACTTGGGTAGGCCTGACCTATGTAGCTCATTACCTTGATTAGTCTTTGGTCAATCAATCAACTTATCATACCTTAATCATTATATTAAATTAGTCAACTTGGTTAACGCTTTTCGTAGAAGTTGCTTTGGCTAATCGGCTAAGCTGTCATAATGCATGCTCATATCATAAGGGTCAAGTACATCTAGGCATGGGTGGCCGAGATGTCCTCGAACGTATATGGTACACTATCCTCCTAGGCTTGATATGTCTATATTTGAGTCTTCAGACTGACGTTGTGGTGTTAGTATTTGGTGCCGTCATGTGCAAAGAAAAATTGTATTTTCTTTGGTCTCCTCCTATAGGTATAGTAGTCCTCAGTCTTAAGGAGCGAGGTCTCATTCTTGATTATATTTGATTGATAAAGAGTTGTCAAGTTGCATAGGAAATGAAGCGACATTGAGAAGGTAGAGAGTCGTGACCTTTGGTTGTTAGATCTAAAGAGATCTAAGGTTGAGATAAGGGATTACAATATGAAAGGCAGCCAGCGTTTTGCTATAAATAGAGGGCTCATTTATCTTAGTTAAACACCTTTATTCTTGAGAATCCCCTTTGCTACTGATATCTTTAAGAAAAGTTTTCAATACTTTAGCATCGACTAGTAACAAATTTGTCTCATAGTGGTTCTAATGTGGGTTCTAGTGAGGGGACAAGTAGTGATAGTAGTCAAGCTTTATCTTCCTCTAGTCCGTCGTCATCACGGGCTCAAGGGTAGTCCAAAAGGTAATCAAATATAATCGAGCAGATCCTCCTAAGGAGCCTGCTGAGAATGACTTACCTTTGTACAAAGGCTATAAGTGGGTATAACCTTTAATGTTTTTCTGCGGTCGCCCATCCTAAACTCGTCGCTAAATAGTATATATATCTTTGAGAATGAGGAAGTAAAGGATACAATATAGTTTATGGTGGTTTATGTCATAAACAATGTATGTCATGGCCATCAAGGGTACAGAGAGGACTTCTTCCATG